TCTTTTTTTTTTTTTTAATTTAAAGGAATTGCTTTGTATGGAAAGGTCACAAGGTTTCGCGCCAGGTGATCAAGTAACAAGCAAAGTTAGGAGGAGGTATCGATTCGCCAATGATCACCAAGAACTTCAATTACTACATTATGCTTCACTTGACGAACGTCGTAAGTTAATTTATAACATTTTTTTTAAACTTATTTATCTTTGATGCTATGAGTTTGAGTGTGCAAACCTATTTTTTATAGGGTATTCATTATTCTAAGGAAAATTATATAATGCGTATAGAGCGGCAAATGGTTCAACCATATACAAGACATCCAACACCAGGCAGATATCTTATGCCACCTATGCAAGCGGGCATGAATCCTTATGCGCGACCATCAAATTCTATCTCACCTATGGGTATTCAATCACCTGGTCCATCATCGATTCATAATACACCACCTGCTGCTATGGCGCGTGGTCCTGCTACAGGTAATCTCACACCAATGGGTAATTCTTATCAATTTCAATCTCGCATGACAGGAAATAGTAATCAACGTGGAATACCGCCAGGAATGGTCATGCAAACTCCAACAAAATCAGTAGGAAGACGCACGAAAGGTGCTAAGGTATAGAAGGGTAATTATTATTATTTATTTATTCCTAAATCTAAATTCTAATGAGAAATGTCATTAAATTCAAATTAGAATAAAGCTTCTGTCACATCCGTTACCGCTGTTGCCGAAGAAATTGATGAACCATCAGGAGGTACAATTACAATTTTTTATTCTTTCTTTCTTTGAATTTTATCGGTGATATCCACTAACATTTCCTTGATTATCATTAGACGAACTTGACAATTTGAAATTTAAAGAAGTTGCAATGTCAAGGTATAGAAGGAATCACGATTATATCTCCGAGGTTTTTTCCGCGTATAGCGTTAGTAAGTTGTTATTATTAATTTTCTTTCAAATAATATCCAAAAACTTATTCTAAAAAAAAAAAAAAAAATTTGTTAGGTTCCATAATTCCACCTACTTCAATTTATCAAGAGAAGGATGTTGATGAATTAAAACAACAATTGGTTGGTTATATTCAATTTAGATTATTTTATACACTTGATAGTTGTTTTCAATGAGTTAATTATCGACATACCAATTAGACTGTACATCAATCAGATATCGAAAAGTTAAAGAGTGAACATTCAAAAAAGGTCGAGGAATTCAATCGACATTCTAATATTCTATCAAAAAGTATGAACGATCTTAGCAAATGTAACAGTATGGAGGTAAGTTAGTAAATTTTAAATTTTATATTTCTCATAAGCTTAACGTATTTACATACTTTTACATCAAAGGAATTATTGAAGTTACAAGAACGAACCGAGAAAGAATTAGATATTGTAATTCAGCCTTATAATCCGATTACATTAATACAAATTCATAATGGGCCAGAATCCGATGTGGAAGATGAGGGTCATACTGACATGATGCAAGATGATGTAATAGCTGGAGAGTTGTTAATAGAAAGAAATCCTGAACACAGAGGATTAGTTGAACTTGATCAAGAACTTTCATCTTATGGCGATTTAGTGAATACACACAATACTTCGGGAATCGAAGAAATTGAAGGATTTGAAGGATTAAAGGATATTCAAGGGATCGAAGGAATTGGAGGAATAGGCACTTCCGGATTACATGAGAATGATTTGCAAAGGTATTTTAGTCCTGCTAACATGCCTGGTTTAGCAAATGAATCAAATCTTCAACTCGGTGGCCTTACTGGAGATACAAATATCGGAGATAATCCGAATTATACCGGTGATCCGAACATGACTATCAACACCAATTTTGGAGGAGATTCAACTCAGATGTTTGATGATTTTATAAATAATCCGGATGAATCTATGGACGATGAAATTCCATTGGCATAATCTTGAATTAGTAAGTCTTAAATAGTGAATTTCATTTTCGCGTTTATTCTATACATTTATTAAAATTAATGATTTGTTGATAATGTAGGTATGTTTCATTTTAAAAGTTTTGGAAATTGTAATTATAATATTATTATATTATATTATATTATAGAATGTTAAATGTTCTTCAGTGTTATTAAAATCTGTTAAAAACCTTAACAATTACAACTTTATAAGCTTTAGTAAATCATCTATATTATCGTCCTTCATAAACTTCGGCAACCCAAGTTTTAATACCCTTAAAATCATTTTTGTCAACAGAACATTTTTCAAAACAAATCTCATTTTCTAAATGTTCAAATTTAAAATTTTCATTTTCATAACCTAAGAATTCTACATTATCTGTTATAGAAGTATCCTGATGATCCAAAGCTGAAGTACGCGTATTTCGAAGTTGGTTTCTGATTAACATAAATTTAATAAGTGTTAAGTAAAATTTTAATTATAAAAAATATTTTCGGTTACATACAGTTCATTTTCCAATATAGTTTGAATTCGTTCAGTTGGTAATGCTGTAATCATATCACTTTTATTACAAGCGATTAAGATTGGTATATGATGTTTTATAACGTCCTTGTTTGAAAATATATCATAAAGATACCTAACATAAATTTTGATTAGTAAATTTTTTTTTTTTTTTTGGTGAAATTTTATAAGATTTATATTTTTTCTTTACTTACTCGGCTATTGACCGTACATTTTTTACACACGTTGAGCTATCAATAAGAAATATAATTCCACGTGTAATTGGTATAAAATCAGAAAACCTAAATCGTAATTTTTCGTGTCCTGGTACATCAACAAAATGTATTGGAACTTTTGTTAATGGCTCTCCCTAATTTTATAGATAAAAAGTCAGTTAATAATAAGATTCATCATAGGGATAACGTTAATTTAGTACATACATCTTCTTCAAGTTTGATAAGTCCTTCGTTTTCTTTCATTGATGTGTGCGTCTGTACTTGTTCTCCATATCTTAACTGAATAAACCGAGAATATAAGTCGCGTCAATATGATATTTAATTTTTTTTTTTTTTTTTTTTTTTTTTGATACATACTTTGATGAATAATGAAGTTTTACCAGAATCTGATAATCCTAATATAATGAATGTATCTTTTTTTGACCGATTCTTTAATACCTTGAATGCAACTTTTGGTATAATGTGTGGAAATCAATAATTTGAATATGTATTTTGAAAAAAAAAAAAAATGTATTTATCAAAAAATAGCGTACTTGAAATAATTGCTGTAATCAATATTGCCAAAATGACCCATGTAGCCGTTGAAAATTCCATTCCGGAACTTAGTAAAAAAAAAACCCGAGGAAAATGATAAATTCGTAAGAAAAAAAAAAAATAAATTTAGTAGGCAGATCTAAATTTGACCAATTTGTAGATTGCATAAATCCGGTCAATTGAAAATCCCAAGCACCGTTCATGTGCACTACGATCTTTTAGAATTATTTTGCATCACGTGACAAATTTAAATGTGTTCTTTGAAAAATAGAAACATAATTTTTTTCACTAACCAGCCCACTCTGTATGTGATTTTAATCATTATAGATCTATTTACCTTGCCGGATTGATTGGATAAAAATAAATCAACAACAAAATTTTTATATATTTGCGGTAAACATTTACGACCTAAGAAAATTTTTAAGGTGAAAGTCCGGCTTAATTAATTCAAATTACTACTATTTTAATATTAATTTCCGCTTTTTGTTCCTTGACTAAATTACTACGTAATTATGGACAACTGAAAAAGCAGATAAAAAATATGAAAAAGGTAGTATGGATCCTAAAGAAAAAACATCATTAATTCGTAATCAAGAATAGTTCGATAAGATCTCATCCAATAAGATTAACACAAAGGTTGGTCAATCTTTATTATTTATTTTGACTGCATTATCATCAATAAAAAGAGTTTAAGAGATTCAAATAGTTACAATATTATTATGTTTTATTATATCTAAGAATTGGTTATATTATCAGAAAAAAAATAAAAGATGCTATTATAGCTAATAAAAATTTACAATAAAAGGATCAGGTACTAATGCTGGTAATTTGAAAAATTGATAGCATTTCATAATAGAGACATTTTCTTTTAAGATCAATAATATGTTATTAAGGCTGAATAAGAATTTGTTTTTTATCATTAATAGTTTTAGATACAAATTCCTTTAAATATAAGTATATTAAAATCATTTTCTATAATCCAACTTTATATTAATTAAGTAATAATATATTATACTGAAACAGATTCTAATTTTCTATTTTATGTCCTTTTATCTATGCAAAAATATTATACCTGTCAAAAATAAAATTTGTAAAATAATGGTAAAGAACCTATACAAAAAACTATTATTTTATATTATTACTTACTTTTATTTTTGAAATAATTGTATCAGATTATATTAATTCTATTGTAATTATATCATAATCTCTATCTGAATAAAGCCAATAATTTTATTATGTTTAATGAATATACTTTATATTCTGAAAAGATAACTTCTATTGCAAGATTAGATTATAATAGGATTCTGAATAATATATAAAAAGATAACAATACAGAGTTTACGTAAAATAAGCCAAAATTTATGTAAATTATTTTCTTTTTGAATAGTTTTGATCAGCATTACAAAGTTAATTCTGAAGAGATATGTAAACCTATTAGTAAATGTATGCTATTTTCTTATTATCTATTTATATATTGCTTAGAACCTTATTACAATATAAGCTAAAATGTAATTACTAATATAGTGTTTTAAGTGAAACTATTTTTCAACATCTGAAATATTTTATTCAGAGAATTTTTCTATAATCTAAAACTATCTGAAATCTCTAAAACTCTAAATTTGAAAAGATTTTTATAGATTAATTTGATGAAACTAGTTTTACCCAAAACACTAACTAATATTAAAAATTTAATTATAATAATAAAAAGTATTTAAAGCTCTATATACAGTCAACTCTTGATATAGCGAACTCTTGATATAACGAATTTTTTGAACAAATATAATAAAAATACTTTTGTTATAGCGAATTGGCCAATCAAATCTCTTAAAATCTTTACTATAACCTTATAGCGAAGTTAAGGTCTAAGATATAGAGTTCGTTATAATAAGAGTTGACTGTATATAATTAAGTTTTTATATTTATTTGAATTTACTTTAAGTTTAAAAATGATACAAAAGATCTATCTGTTTCTTTTCTTTTATTACTAACTTTTGTACCTTTTATTCAATAATAGGAAGCTTATTTAAGTTATTTAATATTATTATAAATAGTAATAAAAAAAGTTAAATACTTAAATTAATAAGTATTTTTTGTAATCTGCTAACAAATTTCATCTTAAATTAATTTAAAAAAAGTTTCATAAAATCCTAAAAATAATTCATATACATAAATATTTCTATTTTATTTACTTTTATCTTTCAAACACATTAAATTTATCAGTTTGCTCTATATATTTCAATATCATTTTTTAGTAAATAAGGTAATCTTATCCAAAAAATAGCAATTACTAGTCAAAATAATCCAATTAGCTAAAAATCAAATAGCTGATTTTAGATTGATTTTGATATTATTTATGATCTATTTATCATATTTTTAGATCAGTACAAATATATGTTAATAGATATCAATTGATTCCAATTAAACATAGCCATTCAGCATTAATTCATAACATAAATTCAACTATAAATTAGCCTAAAATTGACCTCAATTCAGCATCAATTTAGATGCTGATCAATACCAATTGATTCTAATCAGATAAGCAATTCAACCATAAATTAGCTAAAATTAACCTCAATTCAGTATTAATTTAGCAATAATTCAGACATTGATCGATACTAATCAACTTCAATCAGACAAGTAATTCAACCATAAATTAGCCTAAAATTAGCCTCAATTCTAATGTTGACTTTTTGAACTAATGGACTTTTAGATTATTAGACTATTAGACTAATAGACTTAGTTTATTCTAATTTCATTAAAATTTGGACTATTGGATTATAGACTTCATTTAACAACTATAAATTATATATAATTTTAGTAATATTTCATAATTGTAATAATTAATAAAATATATATTATGTAAATCATTTTTATTGATATTTGTTAGAATTTTACTTAATTGCTGATCTGTAATATATAAATAAAGTAATCTACATTATTAATAAAGTGTAATAGGTAGTTAATTATTAAAGAAAATATATTTTTAAATATGAAGTTTTTTTATTAAGTTAACCTCACAAATATCAAAAAAGTGTCAATTTACACCAAATCTTTTAAGTATAAGTATTATAAATTTATAATTACACTATAAATTTATGCTCAAATCAAGGATAAACAGTTAATATTAAGTCAGTTGTAAATATTTAACATTTCACAATACCTTATCATCTATTTATACGTATTAGTTGTATACTTAATAATTTAAAGTTTATTATTATAGTCACTTCTAACAATAAAAATATTTTGAAGTCAGATTTTTAATATATATGTGAAAGGTTTAAAAGTGAAATTAAATCATATCTATCTATAATAATTAAAGCATATTATCAAAAAGTTTTTGATGCAAAAATAAAATATTCAGGCTTAGCAGTTATGGGATTTGTAATTTAAAATATTATTATGAAACTGAAGTGGAATTTATCTTCTCATTTATTATATATTATAATGATGCAAAAATTTATTTTTATTCAAAGTTAATGAAAAAAATTGTTTTTGAAAATTTATTTTGAATTAATATATATTTAAAGTATAATAAGAAATACTTTAAATAATATTTAAAGTTAAACAGAAATACATCAAAAGCAAATGTAAACACATTTGTTTAGAATTAAAAATATATTAATTCAAGAAAAATTACATATATTAAAAAGTAAACCTATAATATGTACATGTAATGATTAGACAAATATTCAAAAACTAAAAGAGATTTTTAATAGATATATA